TTCAATAGGGATAGACCGAGTGCAAGAATAAGGACAAGAATATATCCCCTTAACAGCAACAGGGGCTCACTTTCCCTTGAAACTGCTGACCCATGAGTGAGGTAAAATGACAGAATAAAGGACATAAAGAATAAAATGATAAAAGAAGAAGTCTGAGTTAGGGCAGGAGCAGATTTGGAAAGGGAGATGAGGGATAATATGGTGGAGGAAGAGACTGAGTTGGAGAAAGAGGACAGGAAAAAGAAAGAAATTGAAGGGGGGAATGAGGAAAAGAGAGAAAATAAAATAATTTGAAGGGCCTCTTTCAGACTATGTCTCTGCTGTCATAATATACCACGTGCACAGCCCTGTGCAGAACCAAGTCCCCTGATCTCAGCTAACCAATGGCAGATCCCTGAAACTCAGACTGATCTCAGCCCACAAGGCCTAAATTGAGTTCCCCAACCTGCAGGGTTGAACTCCACACAGTTCTATTACAGGTTTCCCCCACCCTTTCTTTAAAGAAAGATTTCAAAGTCGGAAGATCAGAAAAATACCCTTTAAAAACTGACTATGCCTCTGCAGAATGGGTGCAAGGACTGGCCAAATCAGGAGGTCTGACAGCGTGGAGGTGGGGGGTGGGGGTGGAGGGGTGTCATGGGATGTGCTTCAAGGTTGCCTGCGCAGCTACCTTCCTTGCTGGAGCTGGTGTCAGAGCAGGCAGGGGATGGCGCAGACCTGCGGGGCCCAAGCAGGCAGCAGGAGAGATCTCAGAGCAGCCTTCCTCGCTGGGGCTGGTGGCTCACAGGCAGGGGATGGCGCAGACACGCGGGACCTAAGCAGGCAGCAGGAGAGATCTCAGGGAGGCCTTCCTTGCTGGAGTTGGTGTCAGGGCAGATATGATGGCGCAGACCCACAGGGCCCAAACAGGTGGCAGGAGAGATCTCAGGGTGGCTTTCCTCACTGGGGCTGGTGGCTCACAGGCAGGGCTACTATTCTATTTTTTTAAAATGACTAGTCATTTTTATCCCAATGATCAATAAAGACAGATCAAAAGTATTGGTTTTCCTTCTTCCCACTTAGTTGTAATAACTGAACTCACAAATATCTAAAATAATGTAGCTAAAAAATAAGCTCTAGTATCAACAAGTTATTCTTAGAGATGTTTGCTCCAGCCATTTTGTTCCTCTTGCTCCAGTAAGCTCGCCTATATTAAGTCAACATATGTCATAGAGCAGACCATGCTGTTCCTCACTGTCCACTGATCAGAAGTCATACACAAATGTTTTTCTTCTGCATACCTAGTTCTCAAGTCCTTGGGTTATTAAAATAAAAACAAACAAACAAAAAAAAAGGCCAGAAGTTTCTCAGCTATACACTGCTTTCCTGAGATTTTCTCATGCTGACGAATCTCAGCGAAGCAGCCTACCCCTCACCCCCAGCCTCCTGGAGTCTGATTATTTCATCCTCTGCACTTCCTCCATAACAGATTGTGACAAGTCTTCTCTTGTATTCTTCATCTTTCCATTTGATGATGTTTCATTCCAGATATTTTCTTCTTACTTATCTTTTAGTGTACTAATTATTTCCTTAGCTGTTTCTATGATGTGTTAAAGCTACCTGTTAATTTCTTAGTTTGGGCCATTTTAATGTTTTAAAATTTTCATGTATATTCTCTGGTGTGAAACACTAAAAGTGTAAATTAAGATACAAATCATATAACTGATAATGTGAAATAGGAAGAGAAGGGCTAAAGGTATAGGGGAAGTGGAAAGGGTAGGGGAAAGGAAATAAGGGACAAGAAAAAATACAAGAAAAGGAAAAAATGGAAACAAAGTCTATAAATAGGGGTGAAGTGGGTGAAGGGAGGACTGGGATATGGGGAAAAAATAAGAATCAAGATACATAATGTAAAGGTACAAGGTCCCAATGATGAATGTAACTGTACTCTATACCTAAAAAGTATCAATGAACTCAATGAAAAAAAATTTTTCATGTGCATTTTTTGTGCATTTTGATTCATTATTTTATTTACACACCAAGCACAGTTTGTTTTCATTAAACTTTTGGACAATTGTAAAATCATATGCAATTGTAAGAAAGAACAAAAATCAGTATATCCTTCACCTAATTTCCCAGAATATTCCATGATGGTAACATCTAGGAATATGACACTGATATAGTCATGATACGGAGCATTTGTATCATCACAAAGTCACTTAATTTGATGTTTTATAGCCACATTCACTTCTTTCCCACCTACTCTTTTTTCATCCCCCAGAAATCAATAATTTTTGTCATTTCAAGAACATTATAAAAATGGAAGCACACTGTATAAAACCTTTATAATTGTCTTTTTTTTTTTCCCTTTCTACCCATTTTAATTCTCTGGAGATTGATCCAGGTTGTATATTTCATTGTGTTTAACTGTTGATCAGTATTCTGTGGAATGGATTATCATAGTTTATTTAACTATGCACCTGCTGAAATATTTGAGTTATTTTTCAGTTTGGGCAACTAGAAATAAAGCTGCTATCAACATTTGTGTATAATGCTCATGCTGCTATAAACATGTGTAGAGTCAGCCTCTGTTGACATCCAAGGTACCCAGTAAAGGTTGGTCCTTATTATTCCTGGGATTTCTGGCTTCCAAATGATCTCCATGTATATCACAGTAGAGCTGGTCTTGTTACTGCTGGACAAGGCTAAAAGTCCTAACTCTCTACTTGGCCCTCTCTGATACAACTCTAATGGACAGAAAAAGGGGGAGCTTTATTACTGCTCACTGTGGTACTGGGGGCAAAGGACCTTTTACTATCCCGCGGGGAAGAAAATGCCAGTTTTCTACTCAGCCTTCTTTATAACCACAACAAAAAGGGGATTTTAGGAAGGAAGCCTCTGTAGGCTGGTAAGGAAGGTTGGTAAGCTTTCTACTTGGTCTTTGTGGGTACTTTTTTGTGTGTTTTTGGCTAGAATATGGCAGCACTATCTCAGTTTTTCTAGGGCTGCCCCTTCCTTGGTCCTTTGGCTAGAGTGAAGCTTTTTATTTAGAATTTTTGTTGTTGTTTGTTCCCATTGGTGTTTCTAGATTGATGGCTTCAAGCTCCAATTCTGGGTTATATGAGACAAAAGCAAACAATTACCCCAATCTTAGTCCTAGGGGAATTATACCATGTTGTTGCTTGGATCCTGAGATTACTAACAAGCCTGCCTTATTCTACCATTCAGAATCTTCTTATGTTTGTTTTCATATAGAGTATTCAGTGGCTTCAGTTGTATTTAGCAAAAATAAAGAAAACTAGATCTATTCCATTTTCCCAGTGTGGGAGACTCTCCAGTGCAGTTATTTTAAGCCTTTCTCCAGATCTCCTAAACACCTATTTTTATATACATATAATTATTTTCCAGAGAGGATTTGCTTCTTGCAGATAAGTTAGCAGAATCAATAATTTGAAATACTTTTATCACAGTTTGAAATGATTTGAAGTGTGGCTGCAGTCAATCTTAAGATTGTCATATTTCAGTTCATTTTTACTTTTACAATGTAAACCTTTAGAGACCTAACTCTTGAGTGTTTTATCTGAATGATACCTGAGTCTTCATCCTAGGCAGGCCATGAACTCTTACCTTTTATCTCCCTAGAACTATCAGTGCTTTGAAAGCTTTGCTCACTCTTGCCTGTCTTTTCTGTTCACTGGCTTATTGCCATTTATAAGTTGGCAGATGCTTCTGTGCTTTTAAGATGAATGTTCAGAATAAGAGAAAGAGACTCAGAAGAATGCAACATAATGGAAGACAGTGAGGAAGAGACAGAGAAAAAACAATTATCAAAATGGTCAAATGTGGCTGAAAGATAAAAGACATTCTAGAATGAAAGAAGACACAGTAAATATTATCTATCTTCTATGCAGGAAAGGAAGGCAGTAATTTGAAAGATTTGAATTTTTAAGAGCAGAAAGATTTTAAAAAGAATGGAAACAAATTTAAGAGGTCTTTAAAGAAAAATACATTTATGAACAAATTTAAAGTCTAAAGCAACATTTGGAAATCTCAAGTCAACATTTGAATGGATATGAATTTGCACAATTTTATGACTTATATTTCAAAAAAAGATTAGCATTTTGATATGAGCTCAAGGAGGTAGTTTTCAAGAGAATGTGAAGATTTCATTCTTAGACATTAAGATAAAAATAGGACTGTTATCTATATAGAAATGATATGTGACCAGTAGTGTACATACTTATATGTAATAGTTCTATTGATAAAGTTTTTTTTATCTAGAAATAGCTAATATAAAAATCCCTTCTATTTCTGTTAATAAGCATAGAATCTGAAAATTTATTTTAATTTGAAGAATAACTCTATTATCTTCTATTATTGAAGAATAACTCTATTATCTATTATGGCTATCAGAATCCTAAAATTGTAATTAGCAAAGGTACAACTGAAATTTTCCAAGATTGCAAATGTATGCATGAATACTGAAGTTGTTAAACCAGTATGATCAAGTAGTTCTTTTACCTCTTGCCGCTTGGTATAAGCAGTTGGGGAAACAAACAAACAAACAATATGCAGAACTACTATCCTAGGAATAGAGACTTGAGTGGCTGAAATGTGTATTTATGATAGTGTCTGCTCAAATCAGCTAAGTGTTTATGCTGCATTGCTTGTGAGATATTCTAAAAATACACTCCTACTCATAAGATTATATATGCACTGAATTAGTTACATATAACATTTTCATACCTCAAACATTCTAAAGTATATTCTGCATATATTACTTTAGCATTAAAATAAAGTTTAAGGGAAAACAAGGAATAATGAAAGCCCACGTTAAGATGACTAGCCTAAGATACAGCTGCTGCATACTTGCTTCTTACATTAATTGAAGTTCTGAGCTTATTTTACAACTAACAATTATTCTTTATTGTTAATAAATTCACAAGAAGACTAAAAATCACTTCAATTATAATATAGTACAATATAATATAGTTGTTCTTATGAAAATAAAATCCTCATACCATTTGGTGATGCCATAACAATCTTTAATAATATCTTGAAGAACTGCACGATAAAACAGTGATTCAGTGGGCAGCTGAAAAAAATGCAGACATACATAACCATAAGAAAAAATACAAAACAAAAATCAAGTTAATAATAGAGAGTTCAGACCACAGTGGATGTTAGCAAGCTGACTTTGCAGTTATACAAAGATGAGGACTTTATAATATTTTCACTTTAGGTTAAAGCATTAACCTGGACTAATTCCCACCATGATTCTACTTCTACAAGAAAACAGAAGAAACCATAAAAGAAATAGTGAGTAAGGAAGAAAAGTCCTATCAATAAAAATGGGCTAGTGCCCCAAATGAGGTGCTCATCATTTTAAAAATGTAGAAATAAGCTTTTAAAAAGTTTATTAGTATATGTTTATAGTACACAATGCTCCCAGTTCTTGTGGGAAGTTGGTATGTGTACATAACATATCTTAATTCCTCTTCTCAACCCCTTTTCCTTCCCTCTCTGCCCCCATCCCTTGATACTTTTCCTTTTTTATCTACTTGTGAAATAAACTTATAAGACCAGCCTTGATGGTTCTGAAGTCTGTAGGAGTCAGGAAAAATGTGAGTTGAAAAGTAGGAAGGACATAAAAGGATTTAAATTTATGACAAGACAGCACTTTCAGGGAAGAAATGGCAGATGACCCACATGGTTCAAATATTTTCAAAAGAAAGAAGGAATGGCTGAAGAGAAAGGCCCCATATAAACACGAGATTTTCAAAGACGTGGAGGGAAAAACAACAACAACAACAACAACAACAACAAACCCCCCAAAACCCACTATATTATTTTATCAGAGAAAAAAAGCACTTCAATGCAGCATCAGAAGTTTTGTAACAAAAGTCACCAAACCCCACCTATATTCCCCAAAGAACTCTTAATAGTTACAACACAGGAACACCTAACACAAAATGTTAGCAACCATAATTCAGCTTTGATGCAAAATTACTAATGAAAACAGAGAAGAAAAAGAAAAGCATGCAAGGAGGAACAGAGGGCAATAATGAATGCTTATGAGTAGTTGAAACAGTAAATGTTCAATGATTGGCAAAGTTATAAAGTGGAATGTACACATCTACTGAGTTATCCCTTTATAAGTTCTACTTTCCTATAAAGTCTACAATTGTTATTTTTACATTTTCAACTATGATTAATATGCTTGTAGTTAGCACACAAAAAAGCTTCATCTGTGCTCACACCGAAAACCTCCTCTACTATCCCTTAATCTAATATCAAGTTCCCACACTGGTACAAAGAACCAGAAGTTAAGGCCTAAGGTTTGTCAACCATTTTCTCTTAATGGCAATGACCTCTTAAATCACTGACTTACAGCTTTTTTTTTTTTTTTTTTTTTTTTTTTGTATCAGGGATCAAACTCAGGACCTTGCACTTGCAAAGCAGGCAGTGGAACCACTGAACTAAATCCCCAGCCCTGACTTACAGCATCTTAATATAGGACATTGAAAGAATAGAAATTATATCCTCTCTAAAAGGTGGGAATACTGGGATAGCTGATTCCAGGAGGAAATGGTGTCACAAGTACCATGGTCTCCAAATCTACTCCTGAAATAACTCAAAGGAAGTAGACCCATATGCATACTTGAGTGCTCACACTTAGATTTATAACCTCCAAAAGGCACAAGTTCAATAAAAGAATGGAGACAAATTTACGTATATAAAAATCTCTTTCCAAATACAAATCCTTCACTTAACACAAAACCTACTAATTTTAAAATGTTCCTTACCATTTCAAATTATCAGTTAAACAATTTGGATTTTATTTACACTTTTAGTTTTTCACACCAGAGAAACTATATGGTATTTACACATGTGTGTCTTATTTATTCCACTTGAGTATGACCTCAGAGCTGGGCATGGTGTCGCATGCCTGTAATACCAGCACTTAGGAGGCTGAAGCAGAAAGATCACTGTGAGTTCGAGACCAGCCTGGGCTACATAGTGGTGTCTTCCAGATCATTCTCAAAAAAAAAAAGGAATATGGCCTCAATATGCATCCATTTTTCTATGAATGACTCTAGTTTCCTATTCTTTATGGCTTAGTACTCCATTTTATAGAAAAACCACATCTTTTTTATCCAGTATCCAACTGATGGGCAAATGGGTTGTTTCCAAGTTTTAGCTATTACAAACTGTGCTGCTATTTACATGGGTGCACTAATCACTGTGGTTTGGGCAAATGGGTTGTTTCCAAGTTTTAGCTATTACAAACTGTGCTGCTATTTACATGGGTGCACTAATATCACTGTGGTATGATTCTTTTAATTCTTTTGGAAAGATACCCAGCAGAGGGATGGCTGGGTCAAATGGAAGCTCTAATCCTAGGGTAGGGGAAAGGAAATAAGGGAAAAGAAAAAGTATGAGAAAAGAAAAAATGGAAATAGTCTTTGTAAATAGGGGAGGGTGGAGGGGTGAAGGGAGTGCAGGGGTAGGAGTAAAAAAATGAGGACATGTAAAGGTACAAGATGCCAATGATGAATGTAACTGTAATGTACACTTAAAAAGTATCAATAAACTCAATAAAAAAATAAAAAAAGTTCCTTCCCTTGAAAATTTCACAATCAAAACACTTTAATCTAGAATATCTTATTTCGATATATTGTGCATTGATATTTTTTCGAGTAACATTTTTCTGCAGTATAAAAATCTCTACTTTATCATCTATCCTTCGTTTCCATGAAAATTTCATTTCTATCAAAAATATCTTTTTATATATTAACATCTGATCTTTTAATATTCTGAGGTGCTTCAAGGCATTTTGGTAAGTCTATTCTTCCATGAAATGAAATATTAATACTATAAAGTGTTTACAAGAGTCTTAACTTTTTGTTTGATTATCTATAATAGATAAAAGCTTTAATTTTATAAGACTCCTAAAAACAGTTAAAACTTGTTTCTCATGCTGTTAAAAAATTACATAAAATGGTGTCAAGATAATTTATCAGTAAATGTATATATTATTATTATTGAAAAGCTGAGTGTAAAATGACAGCAGAAAGACTAAGAAATGCATTTTAAGCAAGACAACATACATAAGTGGATTGCATAAAGAAATACAAAGAGGATAGAATAAATCATCAGTCCCAAGTTACCCTGGGTAAGTAAGAGCTTTAAAGCTGTTTCCTAAAAGAAAAAGAAGAGAGTTATGAAGTGCCTTCCAATGTACATTCTTGGAATAAGTAGGACTATCCATTTTAGTAAATACAGGTTGGGGTGAGTGGGAAGGGAGTCAACATATCCTAAGCAGCTTGTGCTTGACTATTTCAGGAATAAACTAGACTTAGATCAGAGTTCACTTTCCCTCACAAGTCATAAATCTACTTATCACTTTCAATGCATATTAAAAATGGGAGATTCAGAACACTCTTAAAGCATAAGTGTTAGAGAGGCATTCTACAGGTCTAGAGGAAAGGGCACTAAGCTGGAAGTCAAAGTTCTGCAATTAAGGCAGCTAGAACACACTATTAAATTTCTGCTGAATATCAAGTTCTCATGTAAGTTTGGAGCAATATCTAATTGATACCACTGACTGGAAATATGACCAAACACCTGGAAAGTTAAAAATACATCTTTGAGCACGATTACGATAAAATTTCTCTTTTGTCCCAGACCCGAAAGTAGTATGTGGTATAGCAGTTAAAATACTTGTTCAAATCTCAGCAACTGCTACCTGGCAGTTTCCTCATGTATTATAGGATAATAGTACATATCTCAAAGGACTATTTATTACCTTAATTGATGAGAAAAATTTGAACCATACTTTGGTAAGCCTGTGTTAGATTTAAGTATTATTTTTACAATCATAATTACTAAATGTCTGTAATAGCAACAACTGTTAACATTTACTGAGTACATGAATATGTACTATGCTAGATATTGTTAACTGAGTACTTAACTGTTAGCTATTTTAAGCATTTTACACATTACATTCATTCAATCATTAGCAACTCTATGAGAAAAGTATTGTCCTTGTTACAAGTGTTATTTTTCCTATTTTACTGATGAAGAAATTAAGCTACAGAGAAGTTAAGATGTATATGTATCCAAGGTCACTAAACCAGTAAGGAAGGAGGACAGGACACAAAATGGAAGTCTGACATTAAAACCCATGCAGTTAAACAAATTCTAATGCCTGCAAAAAGTTTCTAATCAAACTTTAGACAGGCACAATTAATAAATTATACAACAATATACAAGGTAGTTAACAATGCTCTTGGCCCAGGGTAAGCACACAGTAAATTAAAATTGTTTTTGCTATTCTTACTTTTAAAAATTCAAATTGGCATTATTAAGTTTCCTTGAAAAGAAGCAAAAATTCAGATCCAATAAGAATAATCTTGTGAAAAGCCTTAATAAAATCTCTTAAAAATTCCAAATATGTCTCATGACTATAAGGCGGAAGACAATACAATTATATGTATATTTAGGGAATACATTAAGCTTCTGCTTTTATTTAGAAGCCTGTTTGGCTATTGCAATTTATAACTAATCAAATGAATAAAACATTTAAAAATCAATTGAAATATATATTTTGTGGTATAATAAAATACACTGAATGTTATATCTTGTTTATCTTTGCTTGAACTAAGTCCACAAAAGCTTTATAGTCAGCAACAACATTCTTTAGAAATATTTATAGACTGTTTAATGTAATATGAAGAAATGAGAGGCTAGTACAAGAATACAATATGGAAACTTTCCTAAAAGCTCAATTTACTTCTACGCAAGTTCACTTCACTTTTAAAGTAAACACATAAAACATGTATAGATTTGAATATGCAGTGGTGACAAGTAGAGGTGATATTTATTAAAATCCATCAGGTTTTCAGTTCATCAGCAGGTCAAGTATGGAGAGGGCTTAAGAGGGAAAAAAACCTATTGTGTTCATTAGCTGGATTAAAGTAAACACTCTCACTTACCCCTTGGCCAACTGCAACCCGGTCCAATGACTGTAAAGAGAGAAAACAAGACAAAGACTGCTGAAACATGTAGTCTTCTAAGATTTATAAACATATTGTAAAGGGTTTATAAAAGTCCCACTTAAAAAGATGAATTAAGTGATAATATGTAATTTTATACACTTGAAAGCGTTAATATCATTAAGGAATGTATAATTTAAGGCTAATTTACAATGGATATGTGTCATATTCAAACACACACACATATTAGTTATACATAGTCCTTGAATTTCAGAAAGAATTAAAAAACAGGAAAGAAATTAAATGATATAGTTTGGTGTCATGTTTAATGTAGTTAAATAAATAAATCCCAAACTATTAGTATATACACATGAGATATGTAAATATATTTACATATGACATCAACATATTTATTTTTAATGACCATGCAATTTAATTTTAACAAAATGAACAAATTTAGTATCCTTATTTATTTAGTACTCTTTTTTTTTTTTTTTTTTTTGGTACTGGGGAGCAAATTTGGGTCCTTGCACTTGCGAGGCAGGCAGCAGAACTGCTGAGCTAAACCCCTGGCCCTTATTTAGTACTATTACCTATTTATCCTTACCTACTCTGAAGGCATCCCCAGAAAAGTACCTTTTATTTTAAAAAAATAAAAAAAGCAAAGCAAAACAAAACTCCCCTCATCTGAATGTTTTTCAAAAAGATTAGTTATAGATCAAAGATGTACCAAAAGAAATTCAGGCAAGAAAGGACAGGGATGGAGCTAAGGAAAGGGCAGTCCACGAGAAGCCGTCACAGTAAGGGACATTTCTTGATTTTTTTATTTTGAGTATTGGGGATCAAACGCAGGTCTTTGTGCTTGTGAGGCAGGCCAGTGAGCTAAATCCCCGGCCCAGGAAAATTTCTTAAGAGCAACATAGTACATAGTCTACATTTATGGGATTTATGTTAAAAAATTTTTTTTGGTATTTTGAATCAAGTTTATTTTTATCACAATTATTCTTGGTTTGAATATATATTCTTTTATCTTTCTAAAGGATATTAATAATTGTTCTATGTTATTTTATTTTGGATACTTTCCATTTCCACCAATTTGCTTTTTAAAATTTAAAACATAATATAATCTTTATTATCCTTAATTAGTGATTCTTGGTGGTCTGCTGGTTGTTAAAACAGGAATACCATCAACCTGATTAAAAAGCACTGTGTTTATGAATGAGTACTACTAACTGTGGGCCTCTCCATAAAGGAACAGATCTAACCTGTTTTATTGTGAAATCCCTGCAATCAGTATCTTTTAAGTATTATCTCTCTTGGGATAGTCACATTCATTAGAAAAGATGATTTCAATTTCTTCCCTGGAGAGTATAAACCTGGCTGTCAGCACTGCAAAACCATCATTCCAAGAATGACCTGCCATTCTAACAGGATTCTGAACAAGTATCATTTACATATAAAATGAAGGATAAGAAAAGTACATCAAGTAGGACTACAGATAGTATTATTCAAGCGCAGATAGATTTCTAAGGTAATTCTGGAAACTGGTATACTATTTCTTATACTGCTATGTAATCAACATAGAGATAATAGAGATAATGGTCCTTAAAGAATTCATTGAACTTCTGGTTGGGCACTAAATATATTACCCAAGAACTACATTTTATTTAAATTTTTTAATTGTATACACTCAATACATAAATGTCATATATTTGTTGAAATACATACAATGTTTTGATATATATGATTACTATAGATAAATGATTAACACATCTATTATCTATAATATATTCCCAGAAAATTTCTAATGTATAATACAATAGAATTAACTATCGTCCTCATGCTATAATTTAGATCTGTGGATTTGTTCATTAAATTTAACTGCAATATTTTATAATTTCTGATCACAAGCACTCACTCATACTATCCTTGGTAAACTAACATTGTGTCATGAACAAAGGGCATCATACTAAAATTTTTATTTAACTAGGTAGTTTATATCCCAGGTAGCTTAATTATATTTTCCCATTTTATAAAAAATTATGAGATCAAATGATTTCTACAAACACAAAGATGCCATAAGGGTATGTATAAAAAAACTAAACTGATTTTGTTCTTAAAATTTGGTATAGTTTATACAATTAATTACATGTCAGTATTTGTTGTGACACTGAATATGAAGTGGGTAACATTTGAAATTAAAATCATTTTTTCTCATAATCTGCAATATGTAAAAGCATTAATAATGGTGCCCTGCAAAATCTGAAGTTTAATGTGTGGTATAAGCCAAAAATAACAAATTCTGCATCTGTATCAAACTCTTTCTTATTCTAGGAAAAATATAACCGTACCAAACATGCTGACATTCTGGCATTCTGGCCACAACACCATCTTTCTTCCTTCAAATACTGGCACATTGGAAATCCCCATTTTTCTTCAGTACAGTCTGCAGATGGGGAAAAATATGGATTACGTAAGATTCTTCCTCTTTGATTTAAGTAAATCTACTGAGAAAGCAATGAGGAAGTCATTGACTGAGGAGTCAATGAGAAAGTCAAACAGTAGTTAAATATGGAAATGATGAGGTTTAACAGTTCATTCCAGTTTGTTAACTGAAACATAGTCACATTATGAAAATGACATTTGTTCAACAACAGCTGCTCTGTGTTTAAGCTCTAATTCTGATACCACCAATTTGCCGAAATTATTTCTTTAAGATTTAGCAAAAGCAATTTAAAATGCAAATATTTTTCAAATTCTGTGCAACTATAAGAGATAAGTAATACAGTACTGGATGTTTATTGCTGACTTCACTTTGTACAAAAAGTGACATTGGCAATTTATTACAGAACAATGACTTCATTCCTAATAATAGTGATACATCTTTTTTTTTTTTTTTTTTGCTACTATGTCACTGTTCAGAAAAGGAACAGCTATAGAGATTCTTATTTTCTCATTATTTTAAGAGGCTGTAATAGTTTCAGCTGTGATCCAATTGGGCTCAATCTCACTTATGACTCAAGAAATGACAAAAGTGAAAGTTCACTGCTTATTCACATATCTATTGCCCAACTCCCTTCTACAGTTCCACATGCAGCTTGTTGATGTTCAAATCAGTCATACAGAACTATTTCCACAGATTTTTGAAAAGGTAAAGAAACCAATTTCTATTTTAAATTAAACCCTGAAAATAGATGTGAGCTTTATAAAAAATGTAACAGTAAACTGAAATTAATGTAAATTTCTATTATATTAAAAAAGTAAAGTAGAATTGCAAACTTGAACATAAAAAACTCTTTAAAAGAAAATGCAAGCAAGATAAATTCCACACAATAAACTTCTGCACTATGAGGATCAAATGATTTCTTATTAAGAGAGTAGGTTTACTGTTGTTGCTACTGTTATTATTATTACTGTTATTTTTGTAGTGTAGGATTGAACTCAGGGCCTCATGCATGTTTCTTGGTGTTCTACCTCTAGATCCCCAGCCCTGAAGTTTGAACTTAATGGCGATCACAACCTGATCAAAGGTTTCTTCAGGTATTGACAAATTTATAACAGACCTTGATAATCAGATCGAAAACTGGATCCTTCCCAGAAATACAAATAATAATAATAATGCTAGTACATATACAACACTTTAAGTGCTTTATATACAATCAACTCACTTTGGTCCCTTTAGAAATTCTATGAACTAGTTATATACTATTATTCTTCTGTTTCAGATAAGGAAACTGATCATAGGTAGCATAAGAAAATTTCTCAATTCACAAATCTAGCACATGACAGATCTGGAAATTAAACTCAGGTAGTTTAACTTCAGGACTCATATTCATGACTGTTATGCTATATAAATGTACATTTGCAAACAACTTCACTTACAGTTGTATAGGGTTCATGGAGCCTTGTAAGGCTATATAGGTCCTTGGGACCTTGGTCTACTTGTTTTGTTTTTTTTCTCATTGAGTTTATTGGTACATTTTAGGGATACAGTACAGTTACATTCATTATAGGGATCTTGTACCTTTACATGACAGGTCTTGGTTCTCATTTTTTCCCCTTGACCTTGCCCTCCCTTCACCCCCTCCTCCCCTCCCCATTTACAAACACTTTATTTCCATTTTTTCATTTTCTCCTATTTTTTCTTTTCCCTTATTACCTTTCCCCTACCCTTCCCACTTTCCCTACACCTTTAGCCCTTTTCTTCCTATTTCACATTGTCAATTATATCATTAGGATCTTACGTACTATTATAGTTTTGCACACCAGAGAAACTATCTGGTATTTACACATGTGTGACTTATTTCACTTAGGCATATATCCTCAATTTGTATCCATTTTCCTATGAATGAATCTAATTTCCCATTCTTTATGGCTGAATAGTATTCCATTTTATAGAAAAACCACATTTTCTTTATCCAGTTTCCAACTGATGGGCAAATGGGCTGTTTCCAAGTTTTAGCTATTACAAACCCTGGTCTACTTGTATTTCCACGATGACTTGAAATATTGGTTTGACATTTATTGAAACAGTTTAACTAAGACATGAGTATTGCCAAATGCAAGGGTTATGATAAGTCAGAGCTTACTGTAAAGACTTTGTAAGCAGCTAGAGAGATGAGAATGTGCTATCTTGTTTCTAGAGCTTAGAAAAAGTACTGCCCAATAAAATAGCTAGTTTCCTATCCTTAAATACATTCTGTCATCATTCTTTGTATAAACAGAGTATTCTATTGTTCAGATTAAAGACTTATATTCTAAGCATTCATGCAGAAGCTTTGGCCAATTGGATATGGACAGAAATGATGTATGAAAATTCAAGATCATATGGTTAAAGGAAAGGGATGATCTCTTCTGTATACTGCATATCCCCTTACTTCATTCTGTCTTTAATTGATTATGGTCATGGTAGTAGGCCAACTAGGACCATGTAAACAAGAGCAACAGGGTGGAACAACAAAATATATGAATCCTTTTTTCTTAGAAGACTTTCTAGTAGACAGCTTCAAGCCATTCTCTCTAGGTCTGGATTGAAACCAAAATACCCTTTTGTCTTACATCACTGTTATTTTGGTTCTGAATCTATTATGCTTCTAAACTTTTAATAGATGGGTATGCTTAGTATATGGCCAATTTTGTACATTCCACTGGAATAAACAGATAATCATGGTTCTGTTAAGAAGCAAAACCCAGAGGATGAAGGAAGTAGTATCTCAGAAACATCCTTAAAAGATCCATAGCACAGTAGTTGAATAGTTATGCCCCAATAAAGTAATTTCTGAAGATGAGTGTGTGAACAAAGACTTAAATGAAGAAGCAAGCTATGAGAATACCGTTATCCCTCTAAATCTCTGTGTTCCACATTCACAGTTTTATCCAACTGCAACATATAAACATTACAGATAACTTGTTTCATGTCATTATTCCCTAAACAATGCAACTATTTACAAAACATTTGTTATATTAAGTATTATAAAGTAACTTACAGATGATTTAAAGTATAGGGGAAGATAAATGTTGTATATATGCATATAATATGCTATTTTATATAAGAAATTTGAGCATCTGCAGATTTTGGTAGCTCTGAAAGGTTCTGGAACGAACACTCTCCTGAAACAGTGGGATGGCTGTATTAGAAGATGATTTAACAAAACAAAACAAAACACAAAAAACTAAGCTTTGAAAAGTCATACTCTCCCCAGGTTATCTTACAACTCAAAGTAATAGATTAGCAATTTCCCAACCTCTTAAAATATTCCAACCAAATGCCTAGAAAGAGAACAAAAAAGAAAAGAAACAAACAAACTTATAACACTAGCAAAGAGGAGATGAAAGTCAACTTCTTGCAGAACATGAATGAAGCTCAAATTAAACAAACAATGGAGCTGTAATGAAAGCTGTAATTAGTGAACCATAACTGCTGTAACTCACCTAAGACTGAAAAGAAAAAAGCATGTCTACTTGCCTAAAAATAGGTAAAGAGATCCTCCTGGACTAATAATCTAAAAAAAACCTGGACAAAAAAAATACTACTTCAAGTTAGATTGAAAGGAGTATACTATTTCTGAAAAATACATTACACTGGAAGGGGTTTATCATTTCCAGAAAAAAAAAAAACACAAGAAGCACACAGATACATTATTTACACTTTTTTAAAAAATTAATTTTATTGGTACATTTTAGGTATATAATATAGTGACACTCATCTTTGGAAATTTATACCTTTATGTAATCTATCTTGGTTCTTATATTTTTCCCCATTCCCCTGCCCTCCCTTTAACTCCTCAAGACCTATTTACAAGGACTTTGTTTCTATTTTCTAATATTAATTTCATCCCCTTCTTTCCTTTCCCCTACCTATATCACTTCCCTTTCCCCTTTTATTCCAATTTCACATTATCTATTATACCTTTTAGTCCTTATTTACATTATGTTTCTCACACCAGAGAAACTATTCAGTATTTACACATGTATGTCCTAATTATTTCACTTAAAAGCATTGCCTCAATATGCATTCATTTAGTTATGTATCTCTACTTTCTCTTTCTTTATGGCTGAGTAGTACTCCATTTTATGGAAAAAAAAAAACCCTACATTTTCTTTATCTAGTCTCCAGGCGAGGGGCAATTGGGCTGTTTCCAAGTTCTAACTATTAATAACTGCTGCTATGAACATGAGTGCACATATATCACTGTGATATGGTCCTTTTAATTCTTTTGGGAAGATACCCAGCAGGGGACTGGGAGGAGTAAAATGGGACTTCCAATTCTTGTTCTTTGAGGTATCTCCTTCTGCTTTCCACAGTGGTTGCACTAGTCTACACTCCCACCAGCAGTGGAGCAGAGTTCCTTTTCCCTGCAGTCCCACCAGCAATTGTTATTGGTTGATTTCATTTTTTTTTCAGCTTTAATTGAGTTTATTGGTACATTTTAGGGATACAGTACAGTTACATTCATTGTTGGGATCTTGTACCTCTACATGACAAGTCTTGATTCTCATTTTTTCCCCTTACCCCTGCCATCTCTTTACTCCCTCCTCCCCTCCCCATCTACAAACACTTTATTTTCATTTTTATCTTTTCATTCTCTCACATCTTTTTCTTTTCCCTTTTTTACTCTTCCCCTATCCATCCCACCTTCCCTACACTTTTAGCTCCTTTCTTCCCATTTCTAAATGTCAGTAATCTTATTAGGATCTTATGCATTGTTGCAGATGATTCACACCAGGGAAACTATTCGGTATTTACACATGTGTGACTTATTTATTTCACTTAGGAGTATATCTTCAATATGTATCCATTTTCCTATGAATGAATCTATTTTCTCATTCTTTATGGCTGAGTAATATTACATTTTATAGAAAAACCACATCTTCTTTATCCAGTTTCCAACGGATGGGCAAATGGGCTGTTTCCAAGATTTAGCTATTACAAACTGTGCCGCTATA